AACGGGCCAAAGCTCGGCCTCGGTATCAAGCACTACCAGAATCGCGTCCTCGTATCACGTTGTGATCCTAATTCAGTAGCGTCGCAGATGTTGCAAGTTGGCGACCATCTGATCGACGTCGATGGCATACCGGTCACCGACAAGGAAGTATGTCGTGGACTGCTCATGAAAAATCTTCAAGCGCAAAACTTCGCCACTTCGGTTGTCGAACGTGCGGAGAGTTTGGAAGCCAAACAGTGGGTCCAGAATGCTCTTTTCGTATCCATTGCTCACGCTCCTTCCGTTGCGATGAACAGCGATGTGAGAGAAATTGCGGCGCGTCAACGAGCCAGACTTAAGATGCTGCCGTTAGTAAGCACTGTTTAATAGAGAAACTTCTTGACAATTTGGAATTTTTTTAAAGTAATGCTGTTTTTTTAAGACTTTTTCATCTCGAGTATGATTTATTTCATATTTTTTCGAATTTCTGCAGAATTTTTCATTATTCATTTGTGTGGTAGGAATGCTCAGTTCTTACTTTGACACGACACTGCTCTTATTAGAGAATGACGAAAAACATTAGAGATCTGCTTGAAAAATGGGTATGATGAAAAGTGGGTAAAATTATGGGACAGAAATAGTGGTTTGGTTAAAAAATTCAACTCGGGATCTAGTGGATCTTATGAATCTGGTCTGCAACATTCCTCTTTTGAGAAGAGTGATTATTTAACAGGAAAGATGAAGTACCATGAGCTTCACTCTTGTCTGTGAGCTTCCGGAAAAAGTGTGGACAGAATGCTAAAACCGCTCAAACAAGCAGTAAAGGTATCCCACGACATTATTCCCATATGCCGAGCACTGCTTTGCTCTTTTTACTCTCTCCACGATTTTCCGTCCTGTTCTACCTGAGACAATGGTTTTGCAGCCCAAAAAAAGTTGCATGCGCCAAAGTCAATCACGACGCAAGAGCGTGAGATTCACAAAAGTCAAACCATCCGAATATGTCATCGCCAGTGATACTGAAGGGAAAAGTTTGCGCCGTGTTCGGAGGTGATTGGCGTGCAATGTCCAACTCCATTCTCGTTTTATGCGTATTTCAAAAGTCCGGTGTTTTATTAGACTGTGACGGTGTGAAATTTCTGAACGTATGGATCTGAACTGCGCAAAAGCCCGAATCTCCTTCTGAAATCATGAGTTTCGAAGAGTGTGTTACACCGATGATGATGATGATTTTGAAATTATTTTGACTTCCACACTGTAGGACAAATAAGTTTCAAAAATTGCTGTTTCTTATATTTTCTGGCTTTGATAAAGCATATTTGGATATTTTGATCGGCTAATGTTTTTTTAACATTGAAAAATAGTTAAAAATTTCACGCATCTGCGCATGAAAACTGAATTCGGAACCTTGAAGAGTGAATGTCTTTCCGTGATTTCCGAGTTAATAGTTTACTCGCCAAAATTTTCACGAGGCCCAAAGTGATGATATCCGACAGCGCGGGAACGCTGAATTTGAATAGGCAAGGTTGAACGTGGGCAAGGGATCATTACCCTAAAATTTCAGCTTTGTAGATTTTGTGGTTCCCGAGATAATAATTTACTCGCAAAAACTTTCACTAGCCCTTAAGTGATAACGGAGAGCGCGGGATCGCTGAATTTGAATAGGCAAGGGAGTCGTTACCCTAAAATTTCAGCATCCTAGTCTCCGTGGTTCCCAAGATAATAATTTATCCGTCAAAAATTTTCGCTGGGCCGTACTTGTTACCCGCGGGCAGGAAAAAGCTGAATTT